CTGTGCTCCATATTGTAGCTCTATTCGCCGATAACCCCTGTCATTGCAAACTTAACACTAGCGCCGCTCTAATTGCGTCCCCTTTTTGCTAGAGATTTCTTCCCATTTACTTTTAATATTCGAGATTTTATGCAAGTGCTATTTTCTCCGGGTGTAAGTGTACGTTTCGCTCTCTGCTTTTACATTTCCTTCCATATTTCTGCATTTCCTTTGTCCTCACATTCGCTCTAATCAAATTAACAGTACTCGCAACAGCCAGTCGAAACATTTTAGACGACAGAGTTATGTGCTCGTAGGGGCAAAACTTAAACGACCGATCATTGGCATGACTAATCGCAAAAAGCGGATCATTCGGAAACAGTTCCCTCTCCCTTTTGGCATTCCGCACTCCGCCAAACAAACCACTTGATTGCTTTATTTTATTTATCATTGTTAATGTGCTGCAAGCGGCAACAGTTGTTCCTTATCAACGGATTCTGAGTAATCACACAGGCGTATGATGAGTACAGGGCAACATCCATAAGTGCAACCTAATAAATTCTGCAACCAGTCACAGTGACCCGCACTTGAAACTCCTTATCTGAGCTCTACTCCACTCATTCCTCAACGGATTGGTGTTTCATTGCGGCCATATAGGGTCACTTTACAGAAGCTACACTGTACACATGTAACACTAAGATCAACTTACAAACCTAGCCTTTACACAGGCTGCATCATTATTAAAGTAAAAACAATTAATAGGCAACTGACAACATTTGTTAAGCGCCCATCGCTTATCGCTGGTCGTAATTCCTTTGTTTATTGATTGATTTATTTTTAAATGGCCAGGAAAATCAGCCATTTCTGGCTCTAAACCGTTTCTTTGTTTCTCAATTAACGGCGAAAAACTGCAGAGCCTCAAAAATTAAAAACGTCGCCATTGCTGCTGAAAATTAAAAAAAAAATATTTGTGAATGCGCACTCAAGTGATTAATATATACGTAGATATGTCCAGATATATACATACATATATACTGTTTATTTCCGTGCTTATCATTGCTGTTTTTTTGCTTTTTAGACGCTTTTGTTTGGTATTTCTGATGTTTCCACCACAAACGTCTCTTCATAATAATAGAAATTAGCACTTTCTGTTCGAATCAAATAAGTCGATTTATATTAAACAAATATATGGGTTACTTTCCATTAAATTGGGTAAAATTTTCTTCTAAGTATCAGAGTTTGATAAGCAATTTAGGAGGTCTTTTACCTAAGATGGGACCTATAAGTTTTGATTTCTTCCCCATATGTGCTATGATGTTTTTTTAATGTCCCTTAAAGTACTAATTAAAACTGGCGTTGCTCGTGGCTTCTTTGTATCCATTCAAAACCCAACATAATCTTGTGGGCTGCGGGTGCATTATTCAAGAGAATAGACTACTCCCTTTTTAGTGGACTCTGGTCTTTGCTGACTCGTCGATTTCGACTTGGCCATCCGATTACAAATGCGGGTCATTTGATCCGAACAGCGGCATTCCGCACAATCAGCTTACAATCCGACTGGGGTGCTTATTCTTATGGGTTAATCTTCACACCAAAGAGGGTTTGCTTACATCACATCTCTTTCCTTCCCAGCAACTCCAAGGAATGCGCTGCAACCCGCCATTGTATCCAAACCGTTTGGGAGACCCAGAACGTGCCCGTGGACACCGATTCCATCTGCAAGATATGCAAGGACATGGTAACTCAGGCCCGCGATCAGCTAAAGAGCAACGAGACAGAGGAGGAACTGAAGGAGGTCTTCGAGGGCTCCTGCAAGCTGATTCCGATCAAGCCAGTCCAGAAGGAGTGCATCAAGGTGGCCGATGACTTCCTGCCCGAGTTGGTCGAGGCCCTGGCCTCCCAAATGAATCCAGATGTGAGTTTTCACCTCTACAATACTTCCTCGTCATCCTCTTACTGATGTTAAAATTTTCCCATTCAATCCTCAGCAAGTTTGCTCTGTGGCCGGACTTTGCAACAGTGCTCGCATTGATGAAATGCTCAAGAATGGCTTTCAGGCGGCCCTTGATGGAACCGTCCAGGATGAGGATGACAGCTCCGAGGAGACCGAGTTGGCCATGCAGCCAAATCAACTTTCCTGCGGCAACTGCAACCTGCTTTCCCGCCTGATGCACTCGAAATTTGCGGCCACCGATCGCGATGACATGGTGGAAACGATGCTTCATATGTGCAGATCGCTATCCAGTCTTTCAGATGCCTGTGCCAACATCGTACTCACCTATTTCAATGATATCTACGACCATGTCAGCAAGCATTTGACCACGGATGCCGTGTGCCACGTGTCCGGAGTGTGCGCCTCCAGATATCACCAGCATGAGGAGGAAAAACAACCGCAAGAAGCCCTGGTTGCTTTGGATGCCGGCGATGATATTCCCTGCGAACTATGCGAGCAGCTGGTGAAGCACCTGCGCGACGTCTTGGTGGCAAACACCACGGAAACGGAGTTCAAGCAAGTTATGGATGGATTCTGCAAGCAGTCAAAGGGATTCAAAGACGAGTGCCTTAGCATTGTCGACCAATACTACCATGTGATCTACGAGACTCTAGTCAACAAGTTAGATGCCAATGGAGCCTGCTGCATGATCGGCATTTGCCAGAAGAACTCCGCCTCATCGATGAAGGATGTCCCCATTATGCCGCTGCTGCCTGTTGTTGAGCCGGCTCAGGTGAAGATCACCATCGAGAAGCTGGAGAAGCACGAGAAGAAGCAACTGGGCGCCAGTGAGCCGAAGTTCAGCCAGCAAGAGATCCTGGACATGCAGCTGCCTATTGATCACCTTATGGGTGCAGCTAACCCCGGAGCACTGGTCGAGGGTGGAGAACTGTGCACCCTCTGTGAGTACATGCTGCACTTCATTCAGGAGACTCTGGCTACCCCGTCCACGGATGACGAGATCAAGCACACCGTGGAGAACATCTGCACCAAACTGCCCTCGGGAGTTGCCGGTCAATGCCGAAACTTTGTGGAGATGTATGGTGATGCTGTGATTGCTCTGCTCGTCCAAGGACTGAATCCGCGTGACGTGTGCCCTCTTATGCAGATGTGCCCGAAGAATCTGCCAAAGAAGGACGATGTCGAAGTGTTCAATCCCTTGCCATTCAGCGATGAACAGGATTCCCCTACTTGCTCTCTGTGTCTCTTTGCCGTTGAGCAGGCCCAGATGAAGATCCGCGACAATAAGTCCAAGGATAACATCAAGAAGGTCCTATCTGGCCTTTGTACCCATCTGCCCAACGAGCTAAAGGACGAGTGCGTTGACTTCGTAAACACCTATTCCAATGAGCTGGTCGACATGCTAATCACAGATTTCAAGCCGCAGGAGATCTGCGTGCAACTGAAGCTCTGCACGAAGACCACTGACGCTCTCAGCGACTTGGCCATTTCGCTGTACGACGATGTCGATGGTGAGGACAAGTCCAGCAGTGAGGAAATTAGCTTCAATGACATTGAGTCCCTGGAAGAGCTGCCCCCTCAGTTGGCCTACGACCCAGGATTCAGCGCCGCACCCAACTGCCTGATCTGCGAGGAGTTGGTTAAGACCTTGGAGAAGCGTATGGGCAAGCACCCCACCAGGGACAGCATCAAGCATATCCTGGAAGAGTCTTGCGACCGGATGAGGAAGCCAATGAACGGTAAATGCCACAAGGTTATCGACAAGTACGGCGATAAAATCGCCGATCTGCTGCTAAAGGAAATGGATCCTAAGCTTATCTGCGCGGAGTTGGGAATGTGCGTCCTGGATGATTGTGAGTATTTAGAACTACCGCTCCGATATGTACTGGTTTATACTAATGAATTACATTTTTGTAATACAGTGGAAGTTGATGAGGCTTTGAAGTACGTCGTGGTTGCTCTGCCGCAACAGGACAACAAGCTTTCTAGCATCAAGGAGCCGCCCAGCTGCGCCCTTTGCGAGTTCATCATGACCAAGCTGGATGCCGATCTTAAGAACAAGACCGAACAGGACGCCATTAAGCAGGCGATTGAGGCAGTATGCAAACATCTGCCAGCCACGGTGCGCAAACAGTGCGACAGCTTCGTCGATGGATATGCCGCGGCGGTCCTGAAACTGCTGAGCGACGTGCCGCCTAAGGAGGTGTGCCAGAAACTGCAGCTCTGCTTCAGCGTGGCCGTCACCGATGAGGTTGTGGAGTGTGGTGTGTGCCATGGAGTCACCCAGGCTCTTTTGCCCTTCCTGCGAGAGAAGAAAGATGACGACACCGAAGTGACAGCCCTGCAGATGACATCGGTGGGATGCGAGAACTTGCCAGCCAAGTACTACAAAATTGTAAGTAACCTGAATTCTTAAATGTTACATATATGTATCTATCGATTGTGTTGCAGTGCTCCGAGATGATCTCCATCTATGGCAATAGCATTAAGAACTTGGCCAAACGACCCTATGTTGATCAGTCGCATATTTGCGCCGAGATTGGCAAGTGTTTCGATAGCGAGAAGTCTTCGCTGGCCTTTGCTAGAATTTCGGGTAAACTAAAGGTTTAAAGAACCCCAACAATACATTCATTAATTTACTATCTCTCCAACAGCCTAAGTGATGCGTTGTGATGTGCGAACAAGTCGCGAAGGATTAGAAGGAGTAGGGACCCAATCCCACGCTTTATATATGCATATACCTTTACATACATCTGTTTACATTCTATAACGATTTATTGTAAATGAAACATAATTACTTACTCTTCGTTTTGTATCTCGGTTTTTGGCTCTAAATTTGTTAGGTAAATTTGTGATGAAACTGATTTTATAAACGCACTCAAACACCGGCTGAAAAAAGTTAAACTTAACTAAACTAACACTAACACTAAGCAGCACCCTAAACGTAATTTCAATATAAAAATTAGCGAAATCCACGAGCCGCAAACTTTGTATCGATATCCCCATCTGTCCGAAGTCAGTTGAGCAGTGTGTGTAGTTTAAGATATCAAGCAAACTGTGTAAAATACGAACATTGATCTTATAAATCATAAAGAAAACTTAAACCGACAGAGTAGCGTAGCACATTATTGAAAATTTCCCATTCCCCTTGGAACAGTATCTATTTTCTAGCTGATATGTTTGAGAACTCCCTGTTTATCATTAAGCCGGACTATCTGCACAAGCGGCGTCCGGTGCTCTTGAAGTTGCTGGCTGAGGGCTTCCAGCTTCAGGGTAATCGAAGGATTGCCTTTTCGCCAGAGACTGCCGCCGAGTTCTATGCTGATTATGCCGATGAAAAGGGTTTCATGCTGGAGGTTATTCTGCTTTCGAAGGGTGTTTCCGAGGCCTTCATAGTTACCAAGGAAAATGCAGTGCAGGAGCTGCTCAACATCATGATTTGCTATTTGTGAGTGCTTTCAAATGAATTTGTTAATTCTTCAGGTAAAATTGAACCTTTAGTGGTTCGGCATCGGACCTGGAACGCAATATCCATGTTACCAAGAACAGCTACAGTGTGGCCCGCGAGATAAACTTCATTTTTCCCAACTGTAAGTAGCAGAACAAAGATGCAAAAGAGAAAAATCAATGTCTCAATTTTCAGATATTCATGAGCCCCATCAAATGTTCGACCACAATAACTTCTGCAATAGGCCGATGCTGAAGCCGCTGCTCGAGGAGATCTACGACATAATGCAGAACCTAGACTGCAGCCAGGAGAACTGGAAGGTGCGTTTGTCCGATTACCTGGTGCGCAGCAATCCAAAGATGCCCGAAATCAGCAACCAGTGCCAGCAGCGGCCGGATGTCGCAATCCAGGACAAATCGCAGCAGACCACCATGACCTATGCACCGATGCCGAGTGCGCGGGGAGTGCAGCCGCGAGTCAAGAAAACCCAAAGCAGCAGTGCACCCTTGTCCACCACATCCCCGCATTCCTCAATGCAGCTCTCATCGTCTTCCTGTGTCACCTGCGGAGGCTTCGAAAGATCTGAGCCCTGTCTTGAGGAACTGGATCTCAATAAGCGCGTGGAGCCCCATGACGAGGAGCCAGTTTGTGTGGACGAGGAGATCTTGTGGAAGGAGGTTATTGTCTACGAGGAAGTCCAACCGGAGGCGGAGGAACAGGACTCCAAGGAGGACCTGCGGGACCTGGAGGAGGAACAGGAAGGGGAGGATGGGAGTTCGGATGCGGAGTCAGACCGAAGTGTTCATGAGGCTCCACCGCCACCAGCTGAAGATGAGGAGTCTGAAGCGGGTGACACTGCTGCCGCGGAGCCAGGTGAAGCTGCTCACGCTCCGGAAGCAGCTCCTCCTGCTCCAGAGGCTGCTCCTGCGCCTGAAGCCCCTCCAGTGGCTGAAGAACCTGCTCAGGCAGCAGAAGCTCCCGCAGAGGAAGCTCCACCAGGGGAATAAGTTCGGTTCTCTAGTACACCTGTTGCCCTATAATTTGTTTGTAGAAGCATTGAAAAAAATGGACTAAAATGCGCGCAATTTTGCATCACCAACCATTGCACCCGTTGAACCACCTTAAACTGGCAATTGCGCACTCGCAGAATTTTTGGAGGAGGGTTCAAAATGCTGGTCCTGCAGTTTTTTTATTTGCCCCTAGAAAGTGCATCCCACACGGCAGGAAAATCAACAGGAGCAACAGCTTTTTAGCCTCCAACTTGCCGCTGGCCAAATGGCAAAGTTTTTTCGCCCCTTTCAAGTGTCCAATACAAAAAAAAACGTTGAAAATTAAAACAAACAATGAAATCAAATTAAATTTATGGGCCAACTTTCGGTGCAGAAGTGTGCGTTGCATGTGGCACACTTTTTCGCGGGGCAAAGTGCCCTGCAGTGGCTGCAATTAACCCAATTAAACAAAAACAATAGATTTTGCCTGGATTATTTGGCTTCTAACGATTTACATTGATTAAAAGGGTAATTTAGGTTTGGGTGGTGCTTTTAGAAGCGAAGCCAAGTAATACTTCCGCATCGAGCAGGCTAAAATCAAGTATGTTTTTCATAAACGATTATTAAATCAGTATATCACATCTCTAGAATTCTAAAACTTTTGCTAAGACTTACTTAAAATTTGCTAAGAAATCTGAAGCTAATTCCGTTGATCCTCAGACTTTGTGTAAGATAAAGAAAAATACATGTTTAGCTGGAAATAAAAAATAAATTTTCTATACATGTTTTTTTGTAAATATATAAGCTTTGTAGAACAATTTGACATATTTTAGATAGCCCCTTACCACTGTGCGTGGCCAGCACTTATTGCTGCGAATGTATATGTGCGCTCGGAGAGAAGTGGAGAAAAGAGAGAGCAAAAGCTCTCCGCGCTTGGACGCCGTGAGGTATGCAACGCTTTTCGCCTTGCTTAGCGTACCGCTTCCGATTTTTGTGGAAAAAGCAAAAGCAAAAGCAATTCGACAGTCGGTATCTGGCTGCCTTCGCTCTGCTCGCATCCTACATCCGCGTACGGCGTCCTGCGGCCTTCCAAAAATAACAAATAATTACTCAAAATAATAATAATTCAGGGGGTGTGAGGGCGCAGAGCTTTTGAGTCGACGTCGAGTCAAAAAAGTGGCAGAGAAGTGAATCGGTTTCGGTTTCGCAATATACATACACAAACAATAGGCACTGGGAAGTAGACGACGGCGAATCCTTGGCGGCTCAGCATTTCCACCGAATTCGCGTCGAGGAAAAGCGGAAAATCGGAAAGCAGCGACCATTCTCGTATTGATTTTCAAGTGTGGTAAGCGGAAAACGCAAGCAAATACGGAAAAACATGAGAAAGTCCAGAGAAAAGCCCCACCAACTGGCAGTGAAAATGCATGTGGAAATGTCACTGGCCACTGTCAGTGGCGGAAGAAAAGGGGCGGTGGTGGGTTAGGGAAGTGCTGTAAGGTGTCCAAAGCTGGCTCAGAAACCCCAGCGAAATGTCCAAAAATAGAAAAGTGATAGAGTGCAGTGTCGGCGCAAAAAGGTGGGAAAACCACAAACTCAAATGTTGGGGCTAAGTCATAGCGCGCTTGAAAATAAATCCGGGCAGACACGGAAAAGCCTCAAACCTCGGGCCCAAAAATGAAAAAGGCAGAAGAAGCAGAAGAGGAAGCCCGAAAAAACGGAAGAGGAAGAAGCGGCCGGCATACACACACAACCACAAGGGGGTGGCAATCCAACAATCCAACAATCCGAAAGTTGGGCTGGGAAAAGCTCAAGTCACAAATTTTTGCGCAAGGGCAGGCCGAAGTGAATCGAGTCGAGTGCTTTTCCGCAAAGGGGGTGGCTGCCACTGCCACTGCCGCTGCCGCAGCCGACGTCTCCGTCGACGGCAGCGAAATTTCGCAACACTCGCACAAGCACCCCCACAATTTACAGTTAGGGGTGGCATTGTCGATAAGACATATGTATGAAAGGGCTAGCGGTGATTCCAATACCCTCCATAAAAATACCAATGTTAATTCATGTATTAGCGTACTAACAAAAGCATCTGGGTGCCAATTCGGTGATTATCCAAAACGAAGCGAGTTCAAAGGCATAAGTCGATAGTAATACTATACAATATGTGGCGTACGTTGACTGTTGTTCGATGCATCTGCGGGACAAGGGATCACTTGATTTATCTAGCTTAATTGGTATTACCATTAAATTTGCAGCTTATTAAATATTTCTTGTTTCTTGGACAGATCGGCGCCGTTAACATGGATAAGATGACGGTTGCCCAGAAGAACGCATATCTCGAGGCGCACATGGCGGTGCAGCAGCAGATGGCCCAGGCGGCCATCCAGTTCAAGCAGCAGCAGACGTCCCAGCAACAGAACTCCCCCACGGCCAACAACAACAACAACAGCCAGAACAACGGCAACATGCAGCAGCAGCAACAGCAGCAGCAGCAGCAACAGCAGCAGCAACAGCAGCAGCAACAACAGCAGCAGCAGCAGCACTATGCGGCAACCATCAAGGTGCCGCAGATCAGTTCCTCCAGTGTGGCAGCTGCGGCGGCGGGGGAGAGCACCTTCACAGTTCCGGACGACGGAATGGGATTCGAGGGCGGCGTGCGGGTGCTGCAGAGCCTGGGAACCTGGTCGGCGGCCGAGCAACTGACCTACAACATACCCAAGCCCAACCTCATACCCTTCACAGAGCCCTATGTCGAGGGGGGCTCCATGCACCCCGCCAGTCGACTCAAGGCCCTGCAACAGGTGCAACAGGCGTCCTCGGGGGTGCGCAAGACAAATCCCTCAAAGTGTGAGTGCCAAAAGTTTCCGAAAGTGGGAAATTCTTGATTTGAATCAACCAACTTAACGTGTTCACAGCCACCAACAAGGCGTTCGAGTGCACGGTCTGCGGCAAAGGACTCGCCCGCAAGGACAAGCTGACCATCCACATGCGCATCCACACCGGCGAGAAGCCCTATATTTGTGAAGTATAAGCTGCCCTCGAGCCCCGCACCACTAGCCGCAAGCAATATCTAACCCTCGCTTCCGAATCCTCCATTCCAGGTGTGCAATAAGGCGTTCGCAAGGCGGGACAAGCTGGTGATCCACATGAACAAGTTCAAGCACGTGACGCCGACGAACATTGCGCCACTCGGAAAGCGATTGAACAACATGGTGAAGAAGAAGGAGCAGCCGGATCCGCCGCCGGAGGACAACAAGCAGAGCCTGGAGCTGCAGCTGCAGCAGCAGGCCGTCCAGGTGGCCGCCCAGAACATAATAGTGCAATCCGCTCAGGGAGCGCCGACGTCGATTCCCGGTATCATCATACCGCACCATCAGCAGCAGTTGTCCTGGACGTGCGAGCTGTGCGGCAGGATGTTCTCGAGTCGGGACGAGTGGTCCATTCACGCCAAGAGTCATCTGGAGGTGAGAAGATGTCGGTAGACACTCCTGGCGAAAGTTGAGCCAAGGAGAGATTGCGATTGCGATTGCTGGAGTGGATTTAACCCTTTACCTCTTCTCTTCCCCGGACCTATAGTATTGACAGCCGGAACGGCTAGTCGCAGAGTCAACAAAGCCAGCAGCAGCGGCGGCAGGAGTCATTGCTAAGACCACCACCAGCAACAACAGTCGCAACTACCAAATGGATGCTAATCAAAACCAAATTCAGATGGAGGCCCAGGCACGAAAGCAGAAGATAATCATTCAAAACCAGATGATACTCAATGCCAGCCACCAGCAGCAGCAGCAGCACCAGCAGCAACAGCAGCAGCAGCCGCAGCAACATCCGCAACAGCAGCAGCACCAACAGCAACAGCAGCAGCAGCAGCAACACGTGGCCCACGGAAAGAAGGCAGCCAGAAAACACCAGCAACATCTGCAGCAACAGCAGCAGCAGCAACAGCAGCAGCAGCAGCAGCAGCAACAGACCAGTGCGCCAATGTACAATAACAATAGTAGTAGCAACCACAACGGCAACAACCAAAGCCAAGAAGTAACTACCTATTAACAGACCAAATGAACTGAACCCACAAGCAACACCAACAGCCAACAGCAACATTGAACACCAACAAAAACTCACCATTTCCGCCGTATTCTGTATTGTGTTACCCTTCCATTTACCCCTTTCCCTGCGAATCCAGGTGTCGGTGCCGGTGTCGCACATCATTGCCAATTCGCCGACGGCCGCCACCTACATGCAGGCCCAGCTGAGCGAGCACGCCAGCAACATGCAGCACGGCATGCCCATTGTCACGTACAATGGGAACCAGTACTGCGTGATCACCCGGGCCCCGGATCTGGATGTGGAGGCGATGCAGAAGCCCCTGGACTATGGCCACGCAGCCGGAGGAGCCACCAACATAATAGTGATGTCGCCGATGCAACTGCTGCCTCCGCAGCAGCAGCAGCAGCCGCAGCAGCAGCAGCAGCAGCCGCAACCGCAGCAGCAACAGCAGCAGTAAGCACCAGCGAAGAGCAGGCGTACTGCCTAGCCTACCAGCTATAAATACGAATTGTAAATAAAGTCTTAAGCAGCCGAGAGCAACCCTAAGTATATGTTTAACAACACTACCCAGCAAGAGCAAAGTTTGTAAATGTCAGGTTATAAAGCATACGTGTAGATCCCCCGTCAGCGAAGTCAACTCAAAATCAAACGTAGTCTAAGCAACCTAACATATCCCCCCGCAGAACGTATATAGTACCCATCTACATAAGCAGCCACCACTGAGATATATGGATATGCCACTTCGACGCAGTTTCAGACGCAGACCCTCCAAAGTAGTATCCCCACATAGACCCGTATGCAAACCGAATGTGTATGATATTGTATGTGTTTCTATGGCATTGTTTGTACATTAAGCTTATTACGTACTCCAATTACGTCTTCGACTAAAACGCAACCTGGGAGGTAAACCAAATGAAATGAATAATGGAAACAAACGTAGCAGTAGTAGTGTCCATCAGCAAAGCTCCCCACACATCTCCCCACTCGATTCCAATGGCAAACCATGTAAAGATCAAGAGAAAATAAATTTAATTTAATTAAATAAACACTAGTATGTTTTAATGGGGGCTTGGCTTCTTTTCCGAAGTTTTCTTCAGCTTTTTCTCAAACTTAGGCCATGTGATATTACGTATACGCAGTGTCGGCCGTTCTGAGCATCATTCAAGTGACACGCACTTGCGGCCAAAAGTACGAAGTGAAGCCATTAAAGCGGCCAATAATTGGCAGCTGTTGTCGTTTATTATTCTTGGCTGGCCAACTTTGGCGGCGTTCTGGCCAAAAGCGAAGTAAAAACCAAAACATTTGGTCAACGCTGAGCTCACGAAAATCAACTTTTCGTTCCAAAAGTGAAAAATGCCGTGATTTGACCTTAGATGGAAACTCGTCTCTGCCGCTGCGCAGTCGACTGCGCTGCCAACGTCCACGCTGCACTGGCAGCAAATAAATTGTTGCCTCGAAATGCTGTTTATCTTTGTTGTTAGTAAGACAAGTCACTCGAAGAGTTTGCGAAAGGGTATAATGTATTTTTACAAATCTTGTGAGAATCCGAATCCGAAACCTACATGTGTGACATTTTCCAAACTGCCTGCAGTAAATGCACTGCACTGTTTGCGTGCTGAAAACTGCAATATTAAAATGTCATTAAACTGCATATATTCAATGGTAAGAGTATCTAGAGGTTCAAGAACACAGAGGGCCTCGTTTTTACTCACTTCTCGAGTTGTTTTCGCAAGAATCGCAAATTAGTCTGGGCCCTGGTTGATCACCTGAGCAAACTCGAACTCGAAAACGAAAACGAACGCCTACGACAAATGACAACGCCGATGGCGACGCCAACATCTCAGCCATTTGATGTGCTCTCGGCCTCCGCCGGATTCTTTTTGTGTCAGTCGGTTTGCGGATCAGTATCGGATCAGTTGAGTTGACCACCAATCCGGCGAAGATTGGGCGATCATGCTGAACGGAAAATTCTACACGGGCCTGCCGCCCAAAATGGTGGAGCGCCAGGCGGTGAAGGTGTGCAATCGCCAGGAGTCCCACTTCTTCTGGCCAGACGATTCCCGAGCGGATTCCGCGGTGGAAACCCGGGCAAAGCGGAGAAACAGCCAGCAACTGGAGAAGCCTGTGGATGGGATTGCCTCCAATCACAATGCATCCGCTGAAGTGGACACACGGCGAATGTTTCACAAGGAGTTCGCCAGCTCATCCATACAGTTCTACGATAATCTGCAGTCCAATCCTGCTAATAAGCCTTCCGCGGCAAGGGGCTTACGCAGGGAAATAACCCCAAAGCTAACTGAAGTGAGACCCCAGGAATCGGATAGCAAAACTGAGAACACCAGCACTAACAGTCGTCGCCAGCAGGCTTACAGCTCCAAGATCCAATTCTACGATTACGTGAACGAAGCAGATAAGCTGACCCAAAATAATGCCAGGCGACCCCAAATGGACTTCAATGACAAGCGCGAAGTGGAGCTGAACTCCAAGAACAGTCCCAAGCTGCAGGTCAAAAGAAATGTGCGCAGTTTCAGCGTGGAGCTGGAACCCAAGGTCACCAAGAAGCCTCTCAACGACAGTCCCGAGTGGCGGCGGCCGCGTCCACTGCCCCTGCCCAAACGGATACTCAAGCAGGCGGCACAGGAGCAGGATCCCTACGAGCACGTGGAAAGTCGAGTCCGAAGATTGCAGCTAACCAGGAGTCCCGGGCTGCCCAAAAAGCATGTGACCTACAACGAGGAGGCTGCAGAGTACGCCTACTACGACGATCGGGAGGCTCGGGAGGATCGCGAGGATCGCGAGGATCGCGAAGATCGGGAGGATCGAGAGGAGCACACCTACGAAAGTCGCCCCCGTCAGCAGCGAAATATGCCGACAGGAAGTCGCCAGCACCAGCAGCAGCAGCAACGCTCTTTTATGGAAACCAGTCGGACCAAGCCATTAAATAACAGCAATAATTATGAGGCCAACGGCAGGGGCAGGAAAATCTTGCCAAAAATGCCACAGACCAAACAATCCGGAGTGGCACACACGCACACCATCGATGAGGAGCCCCCCGTGCCCCCCGTGCCCTCTGACCCCCGCAAACACCTGCGCAGCAGCCTCTGCTTCAGCGGCGACGCTTTGATGGTGGGCGGCACGGCGTCGCAGTCGCCGTCGACTGCGCAGGCGCGGCGCAGCTCAGCGGGGCAGAGAGTGAGCGTGGGTCTGCCGGACTGAGAGCTCCCATTCGCATGTGCACTTGGTGCAGCTACACAGGGAGAAATGCAGTCGAGTTCGAAATCAAGAGGAGGAAGCTGAAGCGTTGCAGCATTGAGTGCGTAAAGTAAGGCAGCCATTGTACAAGAATTGTGTCAAATGCGAATTGACAATCATGAGGATGAAATAGTGTTGCAAGTATTTCTCTGTGCAGCAGAAGCAGCGACAACATCTGCAGCACAACAGCCACATCCGCAGCAAGCTGATGCGACAGCAGCAGCGTTTCAACCATTTTTAGTTTTTACTTTTACGATCACCTACAAATCTTCGAACTCACCCACATGCGAATGAATGAGTCGGCTTTTGTGATTTCTGAGCGGTTGAATATACATAAACAAACCTTGATCTTGACTAACTTGTGAGCGATGCTGTATGTATTAATTTAGCTTTTAAAGCCAACGCAGAATAATCTATAATTATAATAGTAGAGATATGCTAATAAACTGATACCTATATATAACCAAATAAATGTCGTATGGGCAAACATTCGATTGAGCCTTAAGCCCACTATGGGCATGGAAAATTGTACATGGCAACTAGATCATTTCATTCGGAACTAATTAAGGAACTTATGGCCAAAATAAAAGTGGTGCTGAAAGGTAAGCGAAAGCAGGCGCACATTGAACCTGGAAAGGCTGGAATCGAATAACGAGCATGGGCATAAAAGCTTATTGATACCTCAATTACACTGATAGACCTGTAATCTGTTTCGAAATGTTATGAATTGATCTATACGCGGCGCAAATCGGGGCTTTGAAAAGCCGAACTAATGGAATTCAAGGCACCCTTTCGAGCGGCTTTCCTCAATCCTCTATCGGCTCATTCAAATTCCCAGCAATTTGCTGGTCTGGCAATCAAGTCCGTTGCTCTGGGCAGCTCACCTGGCCAGCCCAGGTCCATTTCGGTGTCCATTCGCAGGTCCCTGCCCCTAGCTCCTTTCACAAAACTTTCAGAAAGAAAGAGCCATTTCGGTGGCATTGTTAAGTGCCGGCGGAAATGCAACCAGCTCGCAGTCAAGTTTAAGTCCAAGTGCCAGTTTAAATCGCGACTGGTCGGTTTTCTGAGCCTGTCCACAAGGAAGCGGTAAATTATGCGAAGTTGCAACCGATTGTCACGCGTGTTGCACTTGAGCTTGACCTTGTCCAGCCAGCAAATTGCAGCAAGTGCTGCAATTATCCATCATATGCCATGGGGCTTCAATCGGGCGGCATTAGCCGGGGATTTAATTAAGGCATCGCCTTAATTGCCGCCAATCTGCAGCTGCCAGGGGAACTCAATTCAAAATCCGGAGGGAGACAAGATAGGCGTGCAAAATAATTGTGCAAATGAAGCGTGGTGAAATGTTACGCAAGTCCCTGTCCATATCCACTGTCATGTCTCTAACCATTTCTTTGCCCACTTCCATTTCCATTTCCACATCCACGTCCACCAACTCCGGGACAAGACAAACTGCCTCCGCTCATGTACGTCCATGCGGCATACATCTTCCGCATTTCGATCGCGCATCCTGGCCGATAGAAAGTAGTCCAAGCGTGCCGGCAAAGAAGGCGAAACGGGCCAAAAAGCAGCGCCAGCTGGCTAACATTTCCTGGCTCGACTTGGCCCCGGCTGAACCTGAACTTCGGGCCAAAAGCGAAGAGAAGAAAAGTGCAGCGTTTATTGGGTAATACTCGTGGAAACCCGTTTGCGCAAAACTGATTTCAAAAAGTCGATAAGTTAGGTGGTTCTTCTGCTTTTCAGTGGGTGGCTGGCTCGTGCCGCTCGACCTTATGCACATTGAAAAACTGCTGGCTTAAAGTGCAATTATATTGTATATTGTGGATATATTATCATGTTCCATTGCTGAACCTCTTAAGTGCTGAACCAAGTGGGATAATATTTTTACATTTCTTGAGCAGAAGCTGAAACACTTTTAAAGACTTATATGGTCAATCCCCAATTGTAAGTTTAGTACTCTCGATAAAAACCGCACTTCTTTTGGTTACCTTTATATTTACTCAAAAAGCCATCAATCTTTGCCCATTAACTTTATTGCCGCACTTTTCGCATATCCAATTTGCTACTTTCCTATTAAGTCACAGACCACAAGCTAAGCCCCTCCACAGTTACAACTTCGGAGAAGTAAATGGCCATCGTTATGTGTAATTACGGCCATAAAGAAACATTTTATTTATGCCCCCTGCCCCATCCGATAAGTTGGCGCTCTATTTCCTAGTGGAAATGCAAATGATGCCTCACTTTGCGCTCTTTTTTACTCCATGTTGTGAGTAGTAAGTCCATGCGTGAAGCGCAAATTTCGATCTGCTACTGACTAGCTCACCTGGCAGGTTTCAATTGCGATTGCCATTGCAAAACATGTTGCAGCAGGTTCGAGGAAGCTGGCATAAAACTGTTGCGTCCGTTGGCCGAACTTTCAGTTTCGTTGGGGCCCCGCTGGTGGCTAATACCGTTGAAGAGAGGTTTCACAAGAAGTAATACCCCGAAAAAGCCGCCACCCAAAATGAAAGTGTGCTGTAATGTAAGCTGTTACACCCGCAATCCTAGATCCACAATTAGACTTAAATGGATAATGTATCCTTAGTTCTTGGCTGCGGCAGTGCTGTTAGTGACGGTCACTTCGGGGCTGAGACCGCCGAGATCCTACTATCGGAGGAACTACTTCAGTGCAGTGGGTTCAGGATCTGGGCACGGACCGGGCTCTCTGCCAGGACCCGTGAGAATAGGACCTGCTGGTTACCTCCGAGCCGATCTGCAAACAAATGAGAGCAAGCACCGGCCACTGAGCAAAAAGTATCCCAAGAAGGGCCACTACAGACCCTACGGATCGGTGAGTTGGGATAGCATATGAGATATCAAATAATACTCGTAGTGACGACTCAAAATAATAAAATGTTCCTCTAAAATGTAGCAGGAGGATGAGGACTACTCCGGCGAACAACGCTACAACTCCGCCGAATATTCAGGAGAGTCCTCCGTTCAGGACAGTCGGGAGTACACGATTGGCACCCAAATCCGCGTCCAGCATCCCATAACAGTGCCCAAGAAGTCCAGCTCCGGTTATCAGAAGCAACCAAAATACGTGACAGCCATTCCATACAAGGCATCCGGTTATGGATCCGATATTCACAAGCCCTCCGGTTATGGATCCGATGTGCATATTGGATCTGGAGAGGATGTCGGACCTCCTCCGAAGAGATCGAAGTGGACTCCAGTGCAATACGATTCGGAAGCCGATCCCTTCCATCTAGTGCCACCTCCAAAGGCAACCGTCGCCTCCAGCAGCAATTCATATAGTGTTTATGAGCCCGAGCACGATGACTACGAGGTGGTCCCAGTGCACCGACCAAAAAACCACGATCGGTACAAGAGCGTGGCGTCCAAGAAACAAATAGAGGCCTACCTGGAGGATCAGCAGAAGCTGCTCGACGAGGCCATCAAAGTTCAGCTTTTAAGCAATCCGAAGCTGCAAAAGTTCTTCAAGGCCCAGGCGCAGGAACAGGAGCGCGAATCCCGGCCAGACCTCGAGATCGAGGATTTTGAAGCCTATCCCCCCAACTTTTCGGGGCCTGGACACCTGCGCAACAAGTACATTGATCACCTACCATCTTCTCCGCCAAAGGGATCTCGATCCCGCCGGCGTCCTCCAAGTGGAGATCATAACCGACCACCCAAGACCATCATCAAACCCAAGAGGAAATACCGATCCACAGCACTGGTCATCAATGTGTGAGAGGGATTACTAAGTCCTGACTTAATCGTTAATTTAAATATCGTTTATAAATACCTATAGTAGTCTTGTTGTACAGTGTATTTATAAGTAATAAAAGACCATTTACTTTAAATGATTTTCTAATGAGTTTCTTTATCGTGCTGGATGGATGTGGGTATAAGTAATATTATAATATAATTAAATTTAGAGTTCGTTTGCACCTTTAACAATGTAGTGTCAAATTCTATTTATAGAAGGTGTTAAACATAAATATTTTTCCAAACTGGCTTAATCAACATTTTTTAAGTTGGAATGGTGGCGGTCTCTAGCGGTTTTTTAATGAAGTTGTCGGTTGAAGTCTCAGCTAAATCTACCATTAAATCTACCACTCCCGGCTATCTACCATTTGATGAGGAGAATTCCTCATTTAAGTGCATTCAGAAAGGTTAAAAAAAATTGAACATTTAAAAAAAGTGTGGGCGTGACAGTTTTTGGCGGTTTTTGGGCGTGGCAACAATTGGAAACAATTGTAAATAAGCTTTCTATTTAATGATTGTCTTCAAGTTTTCATTCACTCACATTAGTTAAATATATTCATTACTCATCAATTTAATTGGATGCTGCGTTCGTCACACCCTTATCCCCATAAGTGGAGCTTCGCATTTCTCGACACAATCTGGCGGCGTTTGCTATTTAAAAAAAAAAACGCAGTCAATCATAAACTTGTGTTATTCATAAAAATAGACTATAAAGAACCCACTGGAAGCAACACACCCATGAGACACCTGTTCCGATCCCAGGCAAATTCTCGACTCTTACCTCTTTCGCAAATCCGAACGAAAATCCGCAATTGAGCAAGCCAATTCAATCGATTGCGATTGCCGCAAAAGTGGGTGCACAAAGGCACGCGGAGAAGAAATCATAAAAAAACAATAAGCTGAAAAAACAAAACCGAATTGATTTTCTTAATTGACTGAGCAGTTTCAACAGAAGCCAGACCCCAAGCCAACCAAAGCAAAAATCCAAACTCCGAGCCGGACTCTCGAGTCCACAACAAATCTGACCTTGAAAGCTAAGCTCTGAAAAGTGTTGCTAATATTGTTAATGTAATCGTTGTCGGTGGTGAAAAAGAATGCCAACCAATCGATGTGAAAGTACAGAGGGAAAAATGTTAATAGTACCTAAGCGTGCCAAAAATAAAATCCCAATAAAATGCTATCATCTAATATATTTTAAAATTTTGTTGTTATGTACTTATAAAATAATAAACTCATAATCAGACTTAAAAAAACAGGTACTATAATAATTAAGTCGAAATGGAAAGGATTTTGAGAGATCTTGAATGAATAAATAAATTAGTCAAGTCTAAAACGAACTTATCAGTTCTGAAGTATAGGTGGAAACAAATAATAAAGTAGCAATTCGAATTAAGTTGTAAATTATAAGACACATATGTTGAGAACTCAACAGGTGAGAGGAAATGGCAAATTAGCTGGCATTCTTGCGTTCGATTGTGCATAAAATATTCAAAATATTTGGATGTAATTAAGTTGCACTAACGCAACTGAAGCCTGACGGTTCGCAATACCACTGGGAATTGACTTAGAGCCCCAATCCCCTAATGAACTGGTGCCACCCCCACTTGCACATGGTTTTCCGGCTTAGCCTGCAACAGCACACCAGGCTGATTTCATTTTCATTGGAATTTTGCACAATTGGCCAAGATTACTGTCAAATGAGCAAAACCCGTTTGAGGTCTTTCCTTGTTGGCCGCATAGAATCGTAACAGAAACTCGAAACTAGTTTTGCATGTACGAAAGTCGGTTGTGTAATGCCGCATTTAGTGGGCGTTCACCACCCGAGGTGTTTAGATAAATCTGCTGGAAATTAAATAAGCAGCCGCTGGCCGAAAAAACAAAAGACTGCAGGACACGAACTTGGTTTCCTTCATATATTGCTTTTACACATTTATAGTACAAATTGCTCAGACGTCCCAAGGCCCAAATTACCATAGTTTCTAAATTAACTTTATACTTTATATTTTTCAACATCATCGAAGTTTATTGACTTCGCCTTTCTTGGGAAGACTAAAATGGAAAGATTAAAGTTCAATGGAAAAGTCACAGAGAAAAATGCCGAAATTTCTTAAGTTTTTTTATATTTCAAAAGTATACATATGACATTTTGAATATATTTTGTAATTTAAGTCAGCAATACCCCTTGGGTAGCAGCGATTAATTTTCTCTGTGTAGGATTATAAATTACTAACAAACAGTACGCAAATAGGAAGTACGATACAATTGCTCTTAAACATATCACACGAGAGTTTGATGGAGTCAAGAAAAGAGTAGGGCTTCTAGTTGTGATAGGGAAAGTTGGAAACGAAAAGAGGGTTCCTAATGAAGAAGATGCATAATGTCTGAGTGGGGGGAATAGTGGGGCTTAGACCTTGTTGAAGGAGTACGTGAAGCCATCGGGCGTGCGGTTCAGGGACAGTTTTCCGGGGGGCGAAAAGCGGTGTGGGTTGGGGGTGGTGGTGGTGTAGTACTCCTGCTGGCGCTGTGGCTGCTGATACTGGGGCTGGTACTGCTGCTGCGGCTGCACGGGCTGTGGGATGTAGGCGGGCTGGGGGGCAGGACGGTACTGCGGCTGAGGAGCGGGCTGCTGGTAGGTCTGCTGGTTCTGGCCGAAGGAGGGATCGTTGTAGCGGGGATCGTAGGAGCCATCATCTCCGTAGTCGTTGCTGCGGAAAGTGGACTGAGGCTGGGGAGCAGGAGCCTGGTACTGTTGCGGCTGGTACTGCTGCGGCTGGTACTGCTGCTGTGGCTGATATCCCGCTGTGGGCACGGGCTGTGGTGGAGCAGGTGGTGCCTGGGGCAAGTGATCTCCAGAAGCTTGGAAGCTGTTTCGGGATGAATACCAATACATTAATACGAGCTCGGGCATTGGTCCTATATCATTTGCTTACCCATTTTTGCCAGCTGTGTACGAAATGGTACGCCTCTCGCCCGTGGGATCCAGATAGCTGTATCTGCCATGACGTGTTCCATCGGCATCCGTCTCCTCCTTGAAGTTGATGCCATCCTCCTGCTCGTAGGCGGCTCCGAATTTTCCATCTCCGGAGAGGTAACGCTGCTCGCTGATGATCGCCGCCGTTTTGGGATCCTGGTGATAGTGCTGGCTGGAAGCCAGGGCCACCAAGGTGGTCAGTGCAAGCTGTTAAGAATTCAAAATTATTATTGCAATCCTATTTTAATTCAGGCATTTATGTGCTACTAATCATTAATCTGAACCATTATCACTTAACGTAATATAACGTAAGAGTTTGCTAGTCAGATGCTTTCACTATTTTATTTATACTCAAGAAAATCCCGTTTTTATTTGACACTTTTGTCCGATAGGTTGATTAATTTACTCTTAATAGCTTTTAAATTGTTCGAACACCCTTGAATAAAGCACAACTCACAAATCTGAACATTTTGGCGTGGGGAAGTTTTGAATATCCTTGTCAAGCGTAAACTGCACACAATTCTCTCGGCTTCTTGAGGGGGATTCACACGCGCCTTTACGCTTACAAGTCGGTTAATTGGGAAATGGGACCGACGGCAACGGATTTGTGGAGTTAACTGCCTTCCGCAACAGCGCCGCCCAAGCTTTTTATAGTCCGAGCGGGAACCTTGGATCGCTGGATCGCCGATCGACTCCGCCTAGGCACTCCAAGGTATGTAATTGTGTTGGTACTATTAACGTTAACGGCAACAACAAGTCGGCCAAGTCGGCGTAACAATAACAAGAATCGAGCTAAGTGCTCCAATAAGTCAACTTTGGGCGAGTATTGGTATCGCGGTCGTGTTACCAAGTCGTTTTACCAGTTTCGATCTCTTTCGCTTGGAGCGCCAACTTTTGCTTTCTATATATACGACTATATGCTATATGCACTTAGTTCCACAGTTTCTGGCTGCAGCGGGCCCAAGCCCAAGACGAAACTATTTTTTAATTATTTCAAAAGTTTTTCAGCCTTAATCCAGCCTCATCTGCGAGGGAATCTAGTGAAACCAGGAATTATCAATTGGTTCTGCAGCGGATTATGCAATTTTCATGGCAATAGTTTAATTTATGCGCAGGCAAAAAAAAAATAAGGAATATACAAACAAATTAGGTTTTAAAATAGATTAAATAACAATTTTGTATGACTTTGTAATTACGAAGTGTTCAAACTTTCAGTTTCTGCCATTAAAGCGGCTACACAAAACTACAAAACAGAAAAGTGGTATAAAAAGTAACTACAACACCCTGAGGAAGAATATGGTTAAATTCAGAATGTGCTTTTATAATGATTACAAGTTTGTTTTGCTGTCTGGTAGCTAAATGTCATGTCCACATTTTTTTGCAGTGTGAAAAGACCGTGGAAACTGTCGATTGTGATGGATAACTGGGCGGTCGCCCTCTGCCGAAAATCCGAACAGATCTTGGGAAATTCGCCAAATGAGCGTTGTTAACTTTTCACTCCCCTCTTCAAGTTGTAAAGTTGTAAAGCCGTTTGTTTGGCTTTTAGCTGGATTTGCATTCTGCATGTGCATGGCCAAGTTGATTTATATCTAGATTGGACTGAAAAGCTGGACTTTGTGGTGTGGCCAAAAGCGCTTGGCAACAATCGCCAGAGTTACGGCAATGTGTTTGACTTGTTGACTCTGCGCTGGCTTCAATTATTTATTGTGTTTGAAATGTCTGGCATTGTTTGGGCTTGTTTATGGCCAAAGCACTTGGCCGCCCACCCACATGCCACATGCCACATGCCACACGCCCACTCCCACGCCTCACCGCCCCACACTTTGCGTAATGTTTGCAGAGAACTTTTGGCATTATTTATGATCTAACAATGCAAACGTTAAATTATTCTTCAGAATAACTAACCATCGGAACAGGTATTCATTTTAAGTTTCAAGAACTTTTCTTAAAGGGAAACTCGGTAATTTCTCATCATGTGAACATGGACCTAAGAGACTTAGAGCATTTAGGTATGCAAATCGGTTTTTCATATTTTAATGAGCGATTTCCACACACCGGCACACTCTCGCACACAAAGTAGCCGCATGGGGTCGTAGATTTCGAGTAGCAACACTCTCATTTACACAGTTACTTGCCCTTTTGCAAGTCGCCATCGTCTGAACATCGCCATCATCATTACCACCATTATTATCCGACGGGTTTGTTTGTGTGGCCAAAAACGGAGAACGCCCTCTCGCCGCAGGAGGCGGTGATCGGCACAGAAGGCGGTAAAAGGGAGGAGGAAATTAAATCAGTTGACAAACAACAACGGGAGTAGCAGCTATAGCATATAGCATACAGCATACAGCTCCGGAATATATACTTGTGTGCGAACTCCATGCAAAGGAGGCGGTGGCAAGAGCAGCGGAGCCAAGGTGAAGCTGAGCAGTTGGGCATGGCCGGATTAGCTTGAGGGTGTGCCCGTCGGAGGGTTGAAACGGTGCAGCTACAGTGATCACTCGGAAACTGGAAATTCTAGAATTTCCGCTACTTTAAATATCCCTAGATATGGAGCGTTTAACGTCAGTTAAGTTACTAAACTATCGAACAATCCAATCTTTCAAATTCTTTAAATTCTCTTAAAATAATTTATATTTTTATCTAAAAATAGGTAAAATAGGTATTTTACTTTACAAAATCCGTCATGTTCGAGCGGCCACTGTACTCCCGAAGCGTCCTTCTTCGCTGGCCTCTCGGCTGCTGCCTTTTTGATTTCCATTTCGATTTTGAGGCGTTTGCCTGATGCGACGATACCGCCACCCAGAATTTCGAGGGAGGGAGTTGTATCAGGAGGTTGATTTTGTTGTTATTTCTGTTGTGATTGCGCCGTCATCTCCGGCGGCCAGAAAGAGATGGCCGACGTTCCCATTCAGCGCATTATTTGTCAGGCTTTCACTTTGGTCGAGTTAATCACAATCGGCGAACAGATAATGAGGGTTGAGCCCTCAGGAAGGGGATGCATCATGCAAAGCTGAGCGTTTTCCTCATCCACATCCATGCTGTCGTAATTCCGCGTTGTCTCTCAATTATTTCAGCTGCTATTCAGAACTACAGACCAGACCAAACTAGGAACTACCACCCGAACAAAGCGAAAAGGAGCAGGGAGATATATGGGCAGACAATTGCGATTATTTGTAATTCAAGATGCAGTCGAGCGTTCTCTGAAATCGAGCGAGTCAACTGCGCGCGGAAGGTTAACAAAAATTTAATGCTAAATGCTTATCGGTTCCATCATCACCATCTACATCTCCATCTCCATTTCCATTTCCATCAGAAGTCAAAACCAAAACTCGCTAAACTCGTCGGGAAATACGATCCATTTATTCCTGGTGGAAAAGAGAGCGAGCGAAATAAGGACTTTGAGAGATGGGGAGATGGTGATTTGATAGCTTATTCACGGATGACCCTGCACACTCGTCAAAAGTCAGTCAGACAACTGGGTACACTGTTGAAAATTTCGTGTTTGCCGTAGGATAAATATTAAACAACGCTTGAGTACACGAGCTGCTATCCAATGTATCATTCAATCATTTCCTATTTTCCTTGAAAATAATTCATATTAATCCTCTTTGTATAAATAATTCGTATAATATTCCTTTACTTGATATGATGATATTTTTGCCTGTGTATTTACCCAAATACTGCTTATCCAAATCCGACTTCAATCGCTCATCCTTTATGAACGTGTAACTCGATCTTTGTACACTCCTAACTGGCGTGTAAGTGCCCGCTAATTGCGCATCTGCTGAATTTTCACATCGCATTTCCATTTTCCTGGCCATGGTTTATGGTTTCGCTTACCGTTTGACTTTTCGTCCGGCTTAGCAACTTTACCCAGAAAACAGTGCTCGCCAGCCGCTTAAGCCATTAAGTGTCGCATAACTAACGTGGTTTATATGGCTTAAAGCATATAGCTCCACTGGACCAGTTTCCCCACACGCACACACACGCATGGGTCCGTTGGCAATATCAAGGTCATTTTACATGGGTTATTGCGTATTTTTATAGAGGGGCGGGGAGCGAAGAGGGCGGTGGAAAACGAGTTTTTCGCATGCGTAGCGGTTTTCGCAATGCATTCGCAGACTTCCGCATTTCGGGGGCCAGATTATTGGGTTCGGCGGTCTGCGCAGTGTGCGAATATGCAAATCGAACAAGGAGTGACGTCAAAATGCCAGTGAGGTGGAAAAGGAAGCGGAAAATGAATAACTGAGAAAAACAAATAGAATTAGAACAAAAGTGCAAATCAACCAAATCAAGTTCCGTTGTGCAATAGTCATCTAAATTGAGCAGATAGTCATTACTACCAACAAATTAAATAAATCTTATTAAATAAGACCTAAAAATAACAGGTTCTACTTAAAAATGCCCTTTTAGTTTATATTTAATTTAAGTAGTCCGAGTGAACCATCGAGTTGCATCTCTTAAAAATTGTATGAAAATTTCAAGCCCATCATTACGGTCTTCACCAGAAGTGGTTATCGGCATCCTGTGGCGTTCGTGAATTATCTTCTGCCCTTGTCCTTGAAATGTGGCATGCCACTATCCAGTTGTAGTTACTGCACTTTTCGAAAGTTGTTTTGCAGCCACCCAAATTGTTGACCTTGTCGAAAAGCTGGTGCACTGAACCCTGATCATTTATCTTGCGGGGCCAAGAACTTACGGCTCACTTTTTGGGGGGAAGGAGTACTTTTTCACTTCCAAGCAACACTTAAGCGAAGTCCAAGAAAAATCTGAGATACTTTGAATATCATATCTGCAAACGAACAGCAGCTACGTGGCTTGATCGCAAGAAGGTCAGTTCACAAATGAGACAATTAAAACGATGTTGACATCTATTCATTGGCGAAAATGATTCATGATTCAACGCACATTACACATTAATTACCAGCGCTGACAAAACGCTATTAACCAACTTATGGTATCCATGCATAATCGCATTTTCAATGTCACATCAGATGGGGTTTATTTTCAGTGGTTTATTTTCGGTGTGACATGCAAACAAGTGAACGATTAATTGCGTTGGCAGCGGCGACATTTCGACAAATCGAAATCGGAATCGCTCAAACAATCCCCTGAAAATGGGCATTAAATTCCGGTTGATTGTGCACCATTTGTGGGACAATGTCAAACGTCAAAGTGCAAGAATTTGACAGCCAATAAACAAACAGCACACAGCCTGAAATAAAAAGCAAATAAGCCAAGTACCGGCGAGTTCCGCTCTCATGACACGGCACTAAATTATTATCGAAAAATATACCCGTCCACTTGACGGGCTCACTTGTAATCGATTTGATATTTAGACCTCACCTCCACTCAACTCAACTGCCTTCTGAGCCACTCAACTCGAGCGTTTCGGCTCCTTTTTCACTGGTGATTAGATGTTGGCCACGTCTGCGGCGGCGGCTCAAAGTGCTTAATTAGCCTACCGTTTCTGGCTACCTTTTTTTGTTGGTACTCTGTTATGCTTACCACTTTGTTGTGGCGACTTCAAGACAATCCAAAATTTGGACACTGAGGAACTGGACTTTATTGTATTAAATCGAGCAATAAGTTATGTAACCCAGACATAAGTATAGGCAATTATATATTTTAT